CGCCGTGTAGTTTAGTAGATATGACGTTTCAGGAAGACGCTTTATTTCTGCCCTCATTATGGGTTTCCTACCATGAAGACGGAGGCAGCCGGTTTCTCTAGAACAATTGTACACGTCGTCACAAATGTGAGTCAGGAAACGTGGAATTGGTACCGAGAAACCGTGTAGTGTACACGAAGTGACTGAAAGAAAGCACGAAGCACATGTCCGGATATCTGACCTCTTGGGCTCAGAGATTTCCCGATATCAACTGGTAATTCAGATAACTGTCTTGTGAGATATGACGCCGTGTAGTTTGGTAGGTAAGTACCAAAATCTCCAAGACTAGAACATGGAGGCATCGCGCTCCTCTGTAACGGTGAGGGCACGTGGAGACCGCTACGAGGTTACAGTACACGTGTACCCACATTACAAACATGGCGACGATGCGAAGCTTTGAGGTTACGTCCTAAAAGTTAACTTCGAATCCGTATTTGTGTAATACGGCCTTAAACATTAAGTAATAGTAATTCAGTTCTTTATTTATTTATTTATTTATTTGGTGAAACGTGGGAACGAAGTTGGTTGAGGCATTATGCTACAAGCCGGGAGGTCGCGGGTTCGAGTGACAATAAAATCATAGAATTTTTCAGTGGTAAACCTTCCAACCGCTCTGTGGCCCTGGGGTCGGCTCAGCTTCTAACAGAAATGAGTACCAGGAAACTTCTTGGGGGGGTAAAGGGCGGCCGGCGCGTAGGGCTGATAACCTCATCGCCATCCGTGAGCCGATTGTCTAGAAAATGTAGGAGCCTCGACGTCTCACAACCCTGTGGGCCTCCACGGCCTGTTACAGGGATATCGTCACCTTTTTATTTATTTATATATTTACTTACTCAATAGCCAAGAGGCCAATTATGAAGCAAGCACGAGCAAAGAAGGAAACACACATACATAATGACAAAAGATAAAACAAGGAAACTTTCCTCATTTAGACAAAAATAAAAATTCTGAAAGTACAGTTGCACCAGATATTATGCAGCAAGGAACGGGAAATTTATATTATATAAATTAATATTTTAATAAGGTAGAACCATTATAAAAGAATATTAAGATAAAAATTTTTGTTTCAAATAAGTCATTAATATAATAATAATAATAACAATAGACGTACGGAACTAGAAATTTTGTAATGAGGAATTGAGCTTGAAAGTTTGATAATTATTTCCTCTATATGAAAAAGTCAAATAGTTCCGTTCATTGTGACTGGTTAATATTTTCTTATTTCAATTATTCATGCGCTTACATGTTTCGGTCTTCAAAGTCCATCTTCAGAGGGACACCTTTACATCAATACTGTTAGAAGCCACCATTACAGTACACGTAATAACAGGTGTCCCTCTGAAGATGGTCTCTGAAGACCGAAACATGTAAGGACATGAATAGCTGAAGTAACTATTTAACTTTTTCATGATGTTAGTGTGACGGACCAGAATGAAACAAATCAGTTTCCTCTGTAACCGCTCATTTATCTGTATCGCATTCACTGATGCACAGTGCAGGAGTTCGAACAAACGCTGAGAGCAACGTTTGAAACACACCCCCCCCCACCGGGCCCTGTGTGTAAGATGCGGGTTGTAAAGTGTGCGTGCCCCTTGAATGGAGCAACGTCATTTGTCGGGTGTGAAATGGGCAAGCCGGATCATCCTTTGTCGTCGAGACGTTTGCTGTTAGCCAGGTATGTCTTCGCGCCTCAGTCTGGTTCTCTGTTTATTTAACTCTTTAAAGCGGGGTGGTTAACATATGTCACGTGTATTAGTGGCTACAGACGGGTTTCGGATTGCTAATTGGATTTATTAGATCTGCAGTAGTTGTCACGTATTTATAACACGGGAGCTATACAAGTCTCAGTGACTCACGCACTCCCAGTCCTGCTATACTCTAGCAAACATAATGTCTTCAAATCACATGCAAAGTCTTCACAAGAAGAAATTCCCGTGACTGTCGCTTAAAACTCTTAAACACACCCAAACACTGTGAAAGTCAAAGTCAAAGTTACATTGCAACTGACTGTCAGTCAGTCAGTCTGTCTGTCTTGGTGTCGAGCCCCGGCCGGGGATCATGACCAGATGTTACTTCTTAAATCAAAGTTACTGTCCTGTCCATGTGGGGGGCCCTCTCTGGCGAGAGTTCGGGCGTGTCATTTGTCAGTCATAGTCGATAACATTAGTCCATTGTCACTGTGTACTCATATTTACAGTTGAGACTTAATATCTAGTATGTATAATGTATACAAGGCCTCTGTCAATCTAGGCTCAGTACAGCAGTCTATGCCCTATTTTTAGTACTTCGTTGTACAGAGTACACACAGAACACACAACCTTTATTGTTGAAACGTATTTACCGAACGATTGCATAGCAACGGTCGCGGCACGGACTCCATAGAAAGCCAGTCAGGTGATAATTATCTCGCTAGTCGATTGGCGCGCTGACTATTGCCTCACAACGAACTATATTCATCCTATTGTTGAGTGCGCTTACGCCATTGAAGGTTGTTAACAGGTCGTTGCGTAGAAACGCTCTGGTCATCCACGTTAATATAAGTACCATCAGCTTTCACATTCAAGAAGTGTACATTTTGCCCACACTTTATGTACGCGTTTCGTGTGATTCTCACAATAAACAGCGAGAAATCGAATAAACTCGTAAATCATGATTTCCGACGTCTGAATGAGATTCGAACTGAGTACCTCCAGGATAAGAGTCTAGAACATTACCACCATGCCAACCAGATGGGCCAGAAGCGTGAAATTCGTCAGAATGAATTACAGTTCTGTACAACTGATCGTTGTACTTCGAGAAAGGTCTGTGTTGTTTTCCGTTTTGATGATAAACAGAGCTTTAGGAAGCATTCAGTGTACACTTATGCGGAATGATAGGCCGGAGGAATTGTAAACGCAGTAGTTCAGACTGAGAGGGACTCTTCCCTGGTAATAAACAAAACTTCACACTCCAAAGCAGCTGCTGACTGTTAAGTTATGTTACTCAGGTTGGCGGGAAGCCAGAACTGTCTGCAAAACGAACCAATATCAAGGCTTCATTGTTCAGTGTTAATGCGTACGTAAAACAGGAGCTTAATGTAGTTCCATATACACTTCAGAGCCATTGTGTTTGTAACGGAGTAGTCAGTACATATCCGATTTCAACGCACCATAAACTCAGTAGAAACCTGTAGAGTTTGAGGTTTTCACAGCGGTGACTATGAAGAATCCCGTCTTATGGGATGTGCTCACGCTGGTTCCTCACTAGCGGATATTTGTACCCTGAAGATAGAGTCAGTTAAATTTACAAGATCTACACGGCGCCACATCCCAGAAGATGGAATTCTTCAGTAAAAAATATTTTTTATTCTCACGCGTAAATGCAGTTTTCTTCATGAGGCGATGTTTGTTGAATATGAGAGTTCGAAAACGTACAACTGTAAGATTTAAGAAGAAAGTTCATTGGACATGAAATACACGCATCTCATTTCGCACGTCTGTGGGAAATATTTTTTTCTGTTCGATAAGTATTTCGTGAGATTCGCGTAAAAACGTCCATAAATGTTCACGTGAAGTCGTCTTTAAACATGTATTCTCTTAATGAAAACTTAGATGATTGTATAATTTTTCATAAAATATCGCTGATACCAAATTTCGTGAAATTCCGTCCAGAAGTTCACGAGTTATTCCATGCGTACCGACGGACTGACCGAAGACGTGCTCAAACAATAACCGCGCCATAAAGACGTATGGGAATTGGCTTCACAGCTCCACGTATTCTCAACCTCGGTTCTAGATTCAGGAGGTCAGCTTCAGGAACAGAGTTTTACTCCCTGGGAAAGAACCCCATGTACCCATTTTATATCTAGGCTGGATAGGCCCCAGAGTAAGCCTGGACGCTATGGAAGAGAAAAATCTTTGGCCTCCCCAGGAATTGAACCTGGATTCATCAGAGCGTTGTTGCCATACAAACTGAGCTTTCCCGGCTCCTTTTTCATATTTTCCTGATCAAAAGTAACTTAAGTTTTTTCCCCCGACTCTACCGCGTTACCACATCAGACGTTTGCACAGCTCCCATGTTTTGATATTTTTAATTACATAGAATTAAACATTATCCATAAGAGATGCTTTGAAAACTGACATGCAGGTCAAAATATTACTCTTAATTTCTCAAAATAATATTGTGCTTCGTAAGTAAATTAGCGGACGGACGAAGAGGGATAGGCTGTCAGTTCTTTTGCCTTTTCAGCGCTATGAACGTGATATCTCGGCCAGAAGACCCTACTGCCGCTGCTGCTGCATAAGCTCTAAGCACCTATGATATGTATGTACTTCGTACTTGTAAAAGTGAGACCGTTTCTTATTTCTTGTTACTCGGAGCAGGAGCCGGAACTAAACGTGGCTTCCCATCTGCGAATCTTGTTGCCATGGAAACATATAAACAGAAGATGAGACAGTCTGTGTGTCATATTCTCACGGCTGGGAACCTGCTGACCCCGCTCTGGTGGGGTACCAAGCCCTGTAGTTCGGGTAGAGCCTCATCTTGCTGCTTTCTCGTTTATCTTAGTCGTATGGTTCTCCGAAACGTCGGGCTCTCTCCGCATTACACGGCGTTACAACCCAGGAAGACCCGACAGATATATTTCTCCTAAATTAAACTAAAAGCTGGAAGTGTTAATTGTAAAAGTTTAAAATTAAACGTATTCGTTCATTAGTCCAAAATGTTTCTTTCAAAATGTTCAGGATAGTGTATCAATACATTTATCGCGTAGCCATTTTAACGACACTGTCTCAACTGCAAGATTTATCCAACACTGACTGCGATACAAGTTCAGTATGTACTGGACACAGGAAGGTTTCTGTGTCGAAGCGGCAGCGTCTACGCCAGCCACTCCTTTCTCATTCGCTATTTGATAATCTCAGTTGAAACAGTGTCGTTACAAGAAATAGTCATACAGTGACGTCCCTCCGTGTGCCTGACAGGGACAAGGAACCGGGATTCGGCGGAAATGCAGCAGGGACGCTGACGCCGTCGTCCCGACGCTCGTCTCTGGTGTCTGGACAGCTAATGTACTACCCCACAAACTCTGCAGTGCTCGAGGAGCCGGTGGAAGAGAAGGTGAGTCGCCCGGTGTCCTGGGTCCCACAGTTATTCACTGGAACCCGTGTTCTGGGTCCCACATACACACTGGTCCGGTGTCCTGGGTCCCACAGTTATTCACTGGAATCCGTGTTCTGGGTCCCACAGACACACTAGCTCCGGTGTCCTGGGTCCCACAGTTATTCACTGGAACCCGTGTTCTGGGTCCCACATACACACTGGTCCGGTGTCCTGGGTCCCACAGTCATTCACTTGAACCCGTGTTCTGGGTCCCACATACACACTGGTCCGGTGTCCTGGGTCCCACAGTCATTCACTTGAACCCGTGTTCTGGGTCCCACATACACACTGGTCCGGTGTCCTGGGCCCCACAGTTATACACTGGAACCCGTGTTCTGGGTCCCACATACACACTGGTGTGGTGTCCTGGGTCCCACATACACACTGGTGCTGTGTCCTGGGTCCCACAGTTATACACTGGCTCCGGTGTCCTGGGTCCCACAGTTCTGCACTATGCCCAAGGTGGTTCTGGTTCTAAATGTCCAAATGTGCATCCGCGTTCGTGTGAGCCTAACCTCGCGTTTCTCCATGAGCCCCGATCACAATGTACTTTGGCCCGTAGCTGGAGAGCACCTGGCAACACCGGAGTAGGTCGACGGTGTGAGAAGTAAGCTACCGAGGTTGGAGGACGTACTTATTTCAGATGCCTATAGATGGCGAGCTATCAGTAGCAGTGTCGCCATCTGACGACAGACCGTTGAGTACATGGAAAGTATGTGTTATGTTGATGGAAAATGCTTTTGGCTGACCGCGGGCGACTAAGTTGAAGTTAATGAGAATCAACACATTGAAACAGATATGAGTCAGGTCAATTGCTGGATGTCTCGCACAAAGTAATTCATGTGAAAAGGGGGGGAGGAGGAAACGAGATGGATTGTTTAGACGTTAGAAACAAGAGATTGACAGATAATATTGCATTTCTACACAACGCAGCCTGGACCTCCAAAGGTATGTGGAATTAAAGTTCCCATAGCTGTGACTACGAAGAACACTACTAGCTTATGGGATGTGACTCCGTGCCGTCTGGTATACCGTAAATCATTGTTTCGGGTAAGACTACTGCCTCCATCGTTAGGGTAGAATAGTACTTTAAAATGGAGACAGCAGGTTTCACAGAAACTTCAGTTATGTTCTACCAGGCTACACGGCGTCATATCATCCTGCCCCTTTGTTCAGAGTGGAATACAACCCGAACTTTGGTTATGATATACCGGACTAAACTGTGTCACATGACAGAAGACAGTAATCATATTACATCTAACTTTTCTGTAGTGGTAATGAAACAATGGAGCTGACTCCGTATCCAGCTTCACGCTTCTGTAAGAACGCACCGGAAATCTGGGTGACGTCACTTCGCGTTGTCATTCGCAACTGAGCCGTTAAGAGCGATAGCGCTGCCGGCCTTGCCCCCTCCACGAACACATCCCCTACGCCGTAACCATTCTTCTTATACGGGGGGGGGGCTTATGNTCTAACAGAAATGAGTACCAGGAATCATCCTGGGGGTAAAGGGCGGCCGGCACGTAAGGCTGACAACCTTACCGCCATCTGTGAGCCGATTGTCTAGAATATGTGGGAGCCTCGACGTCTTACAAGCCTATGGGCCTCCATGGGTTGTTACAGGGATAGCTTTACCTTGTTACGTTCTTATTCTGTGTCTGAAACACATCCGAGAGTTTGCCATGCCTTGGGCAGATAACTTTACTGAAGAGAATCTCTACGTGTGTTGAACGGGGTCCCCGGTACGGCGAACCTGGTTCCCGTCGCGTGTTGAACACAGAATCCAGTAAATTTCTACTGATGACGTAACGATCCGTGTCGCTACGAGGCTGTGACGCAACCTCGAACATGTTTCAGACACAGCATACACGTAACGTATGCGTGCAGCGCAGCCGCAGAGGTCGCCACGCATTTCATGTGTGACGTAACGATTGTTTAATATCAACTCTACCTTGTGACTACTTCAGAAAATAATTTCTAATGCGTCAGAAAAGAAGAAAAAATGGGAGGGGAAATAATGTGGAGCATTCTTATTCGGGGAAAGTGAAGAACTTCTTAGTTTGAATGTTCCCAGAGAGGTCAAGGTTGGTCAGTTGGAGTAAAGGTAAAGTGCTGGGAAGTGAATAAGTTAAGTTATGTTTTTGGTTTGTGCTACAGAAGAAAGAAACTGCATTGGTTCGGAGTTGGCTGTTGACTCTGGGAGGGCCGCATTCGTAGCAAGGAACTTGACTGAGATGCAGAAAAGTGGCAGTTATCTGAACTCAGGTCGTACTTCACAGAAAACACCGTTCCTCTCTGTTCAATCTGTTTGGAGAAACAGTCGCTGTTTCTTTATCAGAGAAATATGCAAGACCCTTAAATCTACACTGCGGAAGTGCTTCAGTAGCCATGCAGATGGTTAATATTGTACCTAATGCGCTTTAAGGGGTTAACACAGTTTGCTGCTGTTCCAGCACGCACCCCAACTTTTCTTGCCAACATAGGAACATTGTGTTGCGGAAATTTAATTGTAATTCCCGTGTCGACCAGCAGATAGTGCAGCGAACACTGCGCGTCTACATTTCAGGGGGAGTAGCCTCTTATTCAATACATGTAAAAGTGGCACATAGGTCATTAGAAACAAATAGTAAAAATCAACTATAGTGCATTAAAATTACCCCTGTGCCTAAGCACCAAGACATGGAGGTGAAGTTTGTTTTCGTAGGAAAGAACCACAGAAGAAAGGAGCTGGTTTTCCTCTTCCCAGGAATAGAACGGAGGCCTTCGAGCCCGCTATCGCTTACTTCTCCTGCTCATATTTAATTTGCGAATTACTTTAGGACTGTAGCTATAGCTAGAATAGCCCGTGTCACAGCTCAAGAGGTTATTCGTCGGCTTCTCACCTCGGCGGCCACGGTTCGATCCCAGTTCAGATTATGTGGGATTTGTGGTAGACAAAATGGCGCTAGTGCGGGATTTCTCCGAGTACTTCTGTTTCTCCTGCCAATTCTCATTCCACCGACAGCTCCTCATCATCATCTACCATCCGAGGTTTGTACAATAGGGCAATTAGTGGCCGACGTACCACCCAACCCCAAGAAATTAACCAAATACAGTATAGAATTCTTTTGGAAGGAAGCGGTCGTCGCCTATTCGACATGCTGTGGCGTATAGGCCCGTTACTAGGCAAAGACCTCGAAACACAACGAGACAAGAGCCGTTGCCGTGCAACGGCACCGTAAACACGCCTGTACGACGTGTTGGAAACGGTGTTTTCTACTAGATCCGAAAGGAATAGGTTATAAGGCAGACCGCTGGGGCGAACCCATTAGTTGAGAGTTGAATTCTACACGGGAGGCTGTGAAGACAGGACCTGAGCGCCTGAAACTGAAGAATCTCCACTGGTAGAAGCCGTTACCAGGGAACGGCTGATGATACATCAGGCTGGAAAAAGAGCTTAGCTGGTGCTGCTGTGATTTGTCAAGTGTGGAGATCAGCAATAGCGCTGTAACTGCCTGTAGTTCCGAATGGTGTGGCCAAGTGGTCAATAAATCCAATTCACCAATCCAGACCCCGTCTATAGTTACACACGCAAATCGTGACAATAGACCCCTTCATTTACATGGAGGAAGCGAGGAAAATCACGTAGAATTTCAGACAAGAAGAGTCGGTGTCCCAGCCGAGATTCGAAATGGCATCTCATGATTAAAAGCCGTAAGTTTTACCGCTTGAGCCTGCCTGCTCGGTACGCCACTGTTGCTCCGCCACTGAGCAGCACGTGGTACAGTGTAAGGTTTCCTTTCGAAGCCGCCCTCCAGCTGAGCCTAAGAGACCAGAGACAGTTGGCACGCGACAGAGCACAGTGAGTGTATACTGACGTTCGTGGCTCGGTTCACAGGATTGGTCCGTTGGCTAGCTGAGTTTCCGTCCGGGATCCTTCCGACTGGGAGGCAACGGTTCTGGTCTAAGGGAAAGAACTCCTTCACATGTTGGAAAAAATCCTGGGGGTGCCCTCAGCGTTGGTTACACGAGCTAGTCTGGGCCACTTGAAGGCATCTGTCGGTTCTGGGCGAGGTATAAACTTGCCACCCCGTTAATTTGCTTTCGTAAAAACAAGGCAAACACCTGAAATCTGATACCAATACAAAATGTGCGTATATTGACGAAAATTAACAGTAAATCAATATATTAACAAGTCATACTATAATAATCTGCCGGTCGCCGTAGCCGTGTGGTCTAATGCATGAAATGTCTTCGCTTGCTCGGAAGCCGGGATCGTGGGTTCGAATCCCACACAAGGCATGGATGTTTGGTATGTGTATGTCTTTATTCTGTGTTTGTGTTGTCCTGTGTGTAGGTAACGGCCTTGCGACGAGCTGATCACTCACCCAAGGAGTCCTACCTTCTGTAAAATGATCATGAAATTGAGAAATCAGCCCTATGTTCCGAAGTGGGGCCGGGAGAGAAAAATATAGTAATTTTCTCAGTTTAGAAATATTTTTTATGCAATTAAACGTAAAGTGTGAAATGTCAAACTTACCGACGCGAGAAGACCAGTCGGTATATGCCTCTTGTGGCTGCTGCGAGCCGAGTGCAGAGTGGAACTAGCCGATAGAAACACTTGAAGTTCTGCATACAAGGGTAGGGGTGGGTGGAGCTTACAAACATTGACTTTACTGCTGCAAATTTGAATGGAACCTCACTCTGTAGGGTCGTAAATAATTATGGTGCCCTAGCTACCTGCCCATTTCGCGGACTCGATAAAGCTATCCTGTAGCTAACTAGATAAGATAGTAATCAGTAGGCGTGAGTCAGTTCATGAAACTTCCATGCACCATTTCGACGCGCGCAATGCCGGTACTTCCCTGTAAGGTATTGTGGAAAATGAAAGATTTAGTACCGAGACACAAACCCCGGATCTTATGAATACGAAATAGACGCTTGTTTCACATCTGGACGCCTCAGCCAATCCTGTGCAC